GGTGGGTGCTGGGCTGGGTGCCTGGCCGGGGGTGGTCCACGGGCTCTCCTGATCCCGAGGTGGAACTCGCCCACGTGCCTTTTGGCACCCGTCCGTGCCGCCCTCGCCCAGGAATGCTCAGCTTCCTCCCTCCCGGCCCGGAGCGAAGCGGTGATGCTCTATTTCCATGGCGATGGCTGGTAGTGTCACAGCGAAGGGCAGGCGCTGCCCTGCAGGGATCGTCACGCACGGCAGCGGGGCTGGGGGGGAGAGCAGCTGCGGCAGGTGCCGGGTCTGCAGTCCCCACCTCGGCGAGGGCACGCGGCTGCGCGCCAAGTACCTGCCGCCAAAACTTCCTCCTCTTCCTCTTGCTCCGGCGTGAAAGTCACCCGCCGAGAGGCAGCGGCCTCGTTCTTTATCCGTACGAAGCCAGCGGGCTCCTGCACACGCTCTGATAACATGCCGTGCTCCGGACGCCTTCGGAGGACACGCAGCCGCGCTGCCGAGGAGGCTTTTCCTGGCGCGTGGTGCCCGCTTTCCTGCCGTGTCTTGTCTGGAACAAGTAAACACCGTCCCATCCCTCCGGCCACAGCTCCCGCTCACGCTCTGGGCATTTTCCAGAATATTTTTGTCTCTGTCTCACTTGGTGTTTGGAGATATGAAATGCTCAGAGTTCGTAAATCACCCCAACAAGGACATAACCTTGATTCCCTGTGCAGTACCAATAGATTACCTAACAGGAGGCATGAAATGGAAGAATGGCTCCATTTGTATAATTCTGCATTAAAAATCAGCCTATTCTGCATTTAGTGCTGCCCGTGAAGTGTCTCCACAGTCAGGAGAAAGGGGCCGGTGTTGGAGAGCAAACAAGTACCTTGTGAAAGGGACGCAAATAGGCACCTCTCCCCGGCGCTGCCCTGGGCTTCACGCTCGAGTGAGCCTTTTGAGGCTTCGGGGAAATGGGTTCTGTGCAAACGGCTTGCAAGCTGCTGACGGGTTGTGTTCTGCAGTTTGTCAGAGCCGCTCGATGGCCATGATCCCCGTTAATTGCTCAGACGGATTACCAGACTCGGGGATTTCTGGGTGCACAGCGGTCGCTTGGTTTTGCAGGCGCAGGATTAACCGGCGTCCTGCCCACAGCATCGGGGCTCGCCAGCAGTGCCACCGTCCTCTGAGGGTCCCTGGGAGGGGGACGTGCACCTCTTCTGTGCATCAGCCGTGCTGGCTGCTCCTGCTTTCCCTTCCTGCATGTGGGCAAGTGGCAGTGGCCAATTTCCAAGGCAGCATCCTGAAGCGGTGCTGGGCTTCGCACCCTTTCGAGCTGCGGCAATTAAACCCCCGGGCATTGCAGCGAGGCAGCAGCTTCTCCGGAAGCCCTGGCTCTTGCCGGGGCAGGGCCGAGCAGGCCTGGCACAAGGGTGAGGGGCACCAAGCCAGGGATGGGCACTGGGGTGCTGCCAGCCCTGGGCTCGGCAAGGGGCTCGCTCCCGTCATGCTGCTGGACCCCCTGCTCCCACAGCCGCCTCTGCCCTGCGGGTGCTTGTGCCGGCTGCCTCTGTGGATAGAAATGCAAAATAACGTGCGTGGAGGGTGGCAGGTGAGAGGTCTTACTCCGTTTGTCCTGTCTGCTCTCATCTTTTGCCTGTGCCTTGTTTCCCCTCTGGATTTCTCCCCAGCCTCCTGTACCATGCTGCTCTGCTGGCGCACGCAGCTCCGTCACTTCGACAGCACCGAGCAGCCCCCGGCGCTCCGTACCGGTTTGGAACCATCGTGTGGCTGGTGGGAGCTGCCCGAGCACGTGGCCCAGAGTAACAAAACGTTTCTCTTGCTTGTGCGCGCTCCTCAAAACGCGCTGGGGGCTTCTGGCTCTACGTGAAGCTTCATCGGGGCGGGAGGGGTTGGGTTGTCCCAGTTTTCTGGTGGGGAAGGAGCCAGGGGCACGGGGGCTCTGGCAAGAGCCGCGGTGCTGGCGCCCATGGGGCCAGAGGAGCTGGGCAGCATCACCCCCCAGCCGCGTCAGCCTCTTCCCAAGCAGCAAAGAGCGTGGCGAGCTCACGTCCTCTGGCCTCCTTGAAATTAGTATCTCTGTTAAGTGCCGACTTTCCTCCTCTTCAAAGCAAGCGGCTGCGTCTGAAAGGGTTTGAGAAGGGGTTTTCATACTGGGGAGAATTCCGAAACTCTTACAGTGGGAGGGTTGCGGCAGCTCCATCTGAAACACCCTCAGCACCTGGAACACCATCGCCTTTAAAACAGAGATTGGCTCGGTCAGGCTCAGCAAAGCGACCCTGGAGCACTTGATGTGCCTGATCCCTGTAATTATCTGAGTAGTTTCCTTGAAAACTGCTCTTGCACTTCTCGTGAAGCGCAGGTAAATATTTGTAGCGGTTTCTCTTGCTGTATGAGAATACGGCTGCCTCGCCATCCATTAAGCCGTGGGAGTGGATTTATGGTTCACGGGAGCAAAGGCTTTGGATGAGGAGATTTGGGATGAAGAAGGGATTTCATCTTCTCAAATATCTCCACTGCTCGTTTCTTTTTTTAACCCAATTTCAGAGTTTTGTTGAATTTTTTCCTTGAGTTAGTGTGGGATAACATTCCCATTCACCTCCAAGATGGGAAAAGAAATAACATGAAAAATTGCCCACGCTCCCCATCTCTCTTTGCAAGGGCAAAAATAAATGGTGTGTGTGTTGATGGGGGGAGTTGTGAATAATCCTGATTTCCAGAGGGTTCAGCGAGCAGCATAACCTCAGCCCTGCCTGGTCCGTCCCTCCAACCCGCTGTGTAACCCCAGCTGGGGCTGGGCCGGTGCCCCCGAACCGAAGCAGATGGGTTCTACGCGCACAGCCGCCCGGTTTATCCCCTTCCTCACACCAGAACCCCCCTTGGAATGCCTCTGGTGTTTCTCCCACCACCGAGCGCCGGGGCGGTTCCTCTCGCCTCTGCTCGCCGGCCGGTGGGACGCGGCCCATGCCGTCGGAGGGGGGTTGTGCCGTTCAGTGTTGCAGCAAAGCTCAAACATCCTCATGGGCTTGGAGCAGTGATGCCTTTCTGCTCACGCCTCCCGAGAGGTGAGGGTTGCTCCGCTGGCTGTTTTGGCGATGGGGAGGCGCGCGGGCTCCCTGGGGGCGGCGTGTCAGGGGGACAGCCCAGGGTTTTTGGGGGGCAAATGCGAGGCAGCAGGACCGGTGAGGGGGGAGGGCCATGTACCTGCTCCCTGGGCTGCCCTTGGGACGTGGGTGTCTCTGCCAGCTTTGGCAGGGTGCTGGCACGGGGCCGGGGGAGCAGGAGGGGTGGCAGGGGGAGGGAAAGGGGGGTCCTGCGGTGAAGCCCGGGGCCCCTGGTTGCCGCCGGCCCCGCCACGCGCTGCCGCATCCCCGCCGCCGCGCCGAGCGCATCGCGCTGCGTTGCCTAGACAACGGCAACTCCTACACGCTGCTATTTATTCTGAAGGACACTTGCTCTTATCTGTTGTTGCAAAGCCCTCAAAAGATTGCATGCCACGCAAAATTCCTCCGAGGTAACCGGACTCGCCGCTCCCGTCCCGAAAGCCGCTTCCTGGGGCCGTGCCAGCCAGCGCGGTGGCTGGGAGGACGCTCCTGGGTGACAGCCCCTTGGCCGGCATCACTCGAAGGCAGGGGGGTGACCCATGCCATCCGTGGGGCAGGACGGGGTGCTGCCCCATCTGAGCTGTGGCCATCCCCCACCGTGTCCCTCCCCGTCACCAGAGGCTCTGGCCTGGGGGGTGATGGCAGGTGCTGGGGACACCCCTGTGTTTGGTGTCCCCTGGCGCTGCCTGGCCAGTCTTGGACTGGAGTTTCTGGCGTGACCCGCGTGAAGCCGGGCGCTGCACGTTGCGTTTTCCCCCGAGTCCTCCTGGTGCCGCAGGGAGCAACGCCGTGATGTTCGGGCAGTTCCTGCGCAGCAGCAAACCCCCACCAGCTTGGGGCTGCCGCCACCGCAGCTTGAGAATGTCACAAGCAAGCAAGGGGAAATGCAAACGGGGGGGGGGGGGGGGAGGGAAAAAAAAAAAAAAAATCTGTTTTTCCTGCGAGCTGCTAATCCCAAGCAGTGAGGACTGGCGTTTTGTCTTTCAGAAGCTTCCACCCAGCAGCTGGGGTTTAGTGAGCACCACATTTGGGCTGGGCCTGTCTTCCCTCGCCTGGTCCAGCGGCTCGTGGTGGAGATGCGCCACGAGCAGGGAGACGGTTGGGTGCGAGGGGTGGTCCCTGGGGTGAGCGTAGCCCCAGGGAGGTGCCCAGCACCTCTCCCCCCACGCAAGGAGACGTTTCGGGTGGCCTCAGGGGGTCGGGCAGTGGCTGAAACGGAGCTGGACGTGCCGCTGGAGCAAGCCGGAGCGCTGCGAAGGTGACGCTGGGGGTGACGCTCTCGCTGGGAGCCCGAGCGCCCGGCTCCTCGCCGGCGGAGACGATGCGTGGCACGTGGGGGGATGCTCTTCGTCCTGCCCCCCGCGGCACTGCCACCGCTCTGCCGGCCTCTAAAAAAAACCCCACCACCAACACGTTTTGGGTGGTTTGTGTTTTTTTGAAGCCTTGAAATCCTTCCTCCCCCAGCCTGAACTATTTTGGTTTATGTAGGGTTTTTTTTTGCTCTTCCCTTTCTCCTTCTGCGCTCTTTCCCTGCGTCGCCTTATTCCTCCCCAAAATAAATGCTGTTACGCTTTGAAAAAATACCCAATTAGGAAAAAAAAAAGAGATCCTCTGAGCAGAAAAAGGCTGTGCCTGAGAGTATCCAGGTCAGCTCCTTTAGCTTCATTTGCTCACGTGTGGAGGGAGTGTACAAATGCTTCTGTCAACCAGATGCACATTTTGTAGTGCTACCAAGGACTTTATGGGGCGCAGCGCTGTGGAGGATTAGTCTATTTAGCCATATAAAGCTCTCATTAACTCCTGCTGAGTTCGACAAAAGTCTTTCTTGTGTAAAAGCTGAATAAAATGGAGTAAAGATTTTTGGGTTTTGGCCTAATGATTTTTTTTTTTCTGGGGGGAAAGAAAAAAAAAAAAAAGACAAGAAAAATGTGTGGATCAGGCATTTTCCTGCCGTGAAACACCATGCTTCACGTGGGGTAGCATCTCAGGAAGAGACGTGAGCGGAGCAGAACCTCTCAAGGTGCGGTGCCGCTGAGGAAGGGAAGGGCTTTGATGTATGTGACATGACATGACGTGATGGTGGCACGTTACATCAAAGCAGAATTTAAAATACTGAGCCTGCCAGCAGTTCAGCGTGATGCCAGCTATTCTGTGGAAGAGCGAGCAATGAGAAGGGCTGCTCGTCCTTCCCAGGGGGGCAGGGGCGCATCCCTGTGCTGCAGGGCCGCATTCGGCGCTGGGGCTGTGCTCCGTGGGAGGGGATGCTCCTGCTGTGGCGTGGGCGACCACCTTAATGGGTTACACGTGCCCATGCAAGAGTCCACGTACTCCTCTGCTTCAGCTCATTGAGGGGTTAATGCCGCGGCCCGTTACGGGCTGGCTCCTTGCACCTTGGCTCGGCCGGGCTCCCCAACCCCCGGTGACTTAGAGACCCCGGAGCGAAGGCTCTGCCTGCTGGCTCTCTGCTTGTGCCATCTGCTTTAGATAATTCATCGAAAAGGGCTGAGTTTGGGCAACACAGACGCCGGCTGCTCCCTCGGGGCGTTTCACAGTAAAACCCATCCTTGAGTCGCTCACGGCGTTCACCGAGCGACCAAGGAGCAGCGAAGCCGCGGTTTCAGATGGGGGCCCGTGATCCGCCTTGTCCGTGGTGGTGGGTTTCGCGGTGGGAGGGGGTGCAGGGGTCCCTGCGATGCCGTTTTAGGGGAGGCTGGGGTAGCGGGGCTGGGGGAGCCGGGGCACGCTGTGCCGGGAGGGAGCACTGGGTTGCCCCCCCCACACCCCTCCGCCTTTCTAACATGGTTGCTGTCTGTCCACAGGTCAGGTTGCCCGCTCGGAAGCCATGCTTGGATTTTAATAGCCATGTTCCACCTAGCCATGGACCTCGCCAGCTGCCAGCCCCCTGCCAGTGGCGCCGGGGGGAGGCTCACGCCGCGGCCGGCGCTCCGGCACAGACTGTCCCGTGGCTCGCTGTGGGGCGCGGGGAGCGGGGAGGAGCTGCGACGCCCCGGCCCCCCCTGGACCTGCACCCCCACGCCCCCCCTGCAGAGACCCCGCTCCCGCCGGCCGCCCCCCGCCGCCCCGCTGCCCGCCGGCCGCCCCCCGCGCCGGCCCCGCTCCCGGAGGGGCCGGCGGCAATTGCGCGGCCGCGGCTTCGCCCCACGGGACGGGCAGCCCACGGAGCAGCCCGAGGTCATCGTCTGGGGTCCCACGGGCGAGGAGGACTCCCTGGAGAGCAGCACGCTGCCCGGCGCCTTCGCCACCGCCGCCACCACCACCACCACCACCACCGCCGCCACCACCATCACCACCACCACCGCTGCCACCGCCGCCGCCACGCCGCCCCACGCGCCCCCCAGCACCCCAGCTCCCGCGCCCGGCGGGGACGCGTCCCGCAGCAGCCCCGGCCGCTCCAGCACCGTCGAGCCGGCCGCCGGCCACAGCAGTGGTGGCAAGGACGCTCGCCCACCCCGCGGGCTGGGAGACAGCACAGGTAGGGTCTGCCGGGGGGGCCGCGGCGGCGGTGGGTAAACTGGGAGGGCTGGGGGGTCCCCGGTGGCAGCGCGGCCCGGGACGGAGATAAGCGTGTGCTGTTAAACAGGAGCCCGCGGGAGGCAAGCGGCAGCTCCCGGTCACCGCTTTTACCCGAGGCGTTCTCCAGCAGCTCGCTGTGTTTTTCCCATCGGCGGAATCTGGCCGCGGCCCATCTCCTGTAGTCGTGTTTTCGCGCGGCGCTCGGGCGCGGCGATGCGTTCCCCCAGCGCTGTCAGCTGCGTGGACGTGGATGGGAAAGCTGCTTCCCATTTATTTCAAATTATATTTGTTATTGCCGGTATTAAACTGTGGGATACCATTGTATAGTTCACAGAATTTATTCACTGTGCATCGACTGCTTTTAGCCCACATTGATTCTCTAGTTGAATCGAAAAAAAGAATTTTACGGCCTAATCTTAATCCCAATTAATTTATCTAGCCTGGCCTGCCTAGCAGAAAGAGATGAGCTAACCGTAGTGTTGTTCCTGACTTAGAGGAGTTATTTATAGCAGCGAAAAAACTCCCAACCTGCGCACCTTTTAAAAAACCACTGGAATCGGCTGGATAAATTAGCGACGGAGCATCCATAACGATGCTGGCATGAGCTGTGTGACCTGTGTGATGAGACCTTCAGCCTCATCTCCCCGGACCAGCTGTGCTGCCCAGTGCCCACCAGTGCTGCCGTGTCCGCTGCCCTCCGGGGCCAGCAAGTCGGCAGAGCCGCGGCCCCGAGCCTCCGCAGCCCCGGCAGCGTCCCCAGGGGTGTGGGGGTGGCTGCTTTAATCTGCCAGCTCTTTGCTCTCATTAGAGGCTTTTTCTGGGAGCGGGAGTTTTTGCTAATTAACTTCTTTCCCGCCGAGTGGTGAATGCGATAAACTCCTTCCTGGGGCTAAAAGACCTTTTTGATCTCATCCCGTCCACCCACAGTTGAAAAGCGCCCGAGCTCCAGAGCTGCTTTTCCTTCCACCACTGGGGCTGAGCACCCAGGGGGGCCCTGGGGGAGCAGCACCGAGCCCCTGGGGCGAGCGTTTCGGGAGCCGTCTTGAAGCCCCGGCCATGCGAGTGCCGGTTTTGCTGGCAAGGCGGCTGTGCATTTTTCAAGCCCTGCTCCTCTCTGTTATATAAGCTTTAGCGGCTGGAAGTGTTTGTTCTCTGCTGGGAAAAACATATGGCTACAAATGAGGATTGGGGAACTCATCTGGACTTTTTATTTGCCTCGGCGAGCGCTGCAAATCCCCATCCTGTAAGGCACCGCACGTTGCGATAGGAGCCCGAGATGGGTGGGTGGGCAGGGAGGGATGCTGCTCGTGCAGCTTGTGGTCCTTCAGCTCTCTCTGGCAGCACCCTGGGGCGGGGGGGTCAGGGTGGCCCCGCTGGCAGCACCCAAGGGAGCTGGGCCCCCCCGGGAGCCGGCAGAGCTGCCCCAGGGCTCCTGCAGCCAAGGGGACCGTCGCTGCCGTCGGAGCGGGTGCTGACGAGGGGGCTGCATCCCTGCCACGTTCCTCTGCGCCCTGCCCCTGATTCCCTTTGTGCATTGCTAGAAAGGGAACTTGCTGCTGGGCGCCCAGTGATGTTGGGGGACTGTGGGGGGTCCTTGGGGCATATGCGGGGTGGGGGCACATGGGCGAAGGCGGCAGCTCTCGTTAGGTGAGCAGGTAACGCAATCCTGCTCAGCTAGATCTTCCTCTCGCCCTGCTCCTCCTTGCTGAAGAAGCAAGAGGGAAAAAAAGCCAGAAACAATATCTCCGTGACTCACTAGCAGCAAAAACAACCCTAAAAAAATTCCCCTGGAGCAGCAAATATTCTGCTTGTAGGTAGGAGAAAAGGCGGGTGAGTGGTTGCTTGCAGTGTCCAGAAAGAAAGGAGAGGCTGGTACGTGCCGCTGTGGTTGCGGTGGGTGCCACTGTGCGGGGGGGCTGTTTTGGGGTCCCCCGCAGCCCAGGGGCGTTTGTCCCGGGGGCACCCCTGCCCGCGCGGCGCCTGGCAGGGCACTGGTGGCAGTCAGATGGGGATGCAATATGTTCACCCAGGAGGAGTTTGTGCTTACGCTTCTCAAAACCACGCTTCCTTTTTTGGGGGGGGCTGTCATCATCATTTTATGGTGGAGCGCGGAAAGAGAGGAATAATTAAAATTCCAGCGTGCTGCAAGAGGGAAGGGCTGTAAGAAGCTTTGGCCAAGGTAGGCCACACCGACGCTGTCTGTGCAGGCTGGGCCGTGCCACCGGGGCAGAGCACCCTCCCGTACTGCAGGCTCAGCCAAAAAAAAAGAAGAAAAGGGAAGGATGAATCAAAGACTGTCAGAGTAAAGGCATGAATTGTGCTCGCTGGGTTGTCTGAGGCGGTCCTTTTAGTATTATTAGAATAAAGCCGTCTTTAATTAAACCTTTAAGTGCTTTATAAGGCAGAAGACTTTATGTGCCGTCTGCTGCTCTTAACGGTGGTTTGATCGCCGGTACACAGCGAGTTTGGCATCGTGGTCTGTGAGCAGCACGCTCGTGAAGGAACCAGGGCTGAGGGGCAGCCCTGTCCCCAGGGCTGGGGCAGAGGCCGGGGCCGGGTTTGCTGGGTGGAGGAGAGGGGCTGCGTGGGTGCTGGCGTGGGCACCCGCCGTGCCGGCAGCCAGAGCCCAGCTCACAGGGTGCCCCAGCCCACCCGCTGCAGGCTGGGGGCGTATAGGGAATAAATGGTAATAATAGAGACATTCGCTTCCCCGCCGGGAGATGACCCTGCCTTCAAAAAGGGGGTGCAGGAGAGGGGGTGCTGGTTGCAAGGAGATAGCGGACGCGACAGGCTTCAAAGGAATTAATTAAAGATAAAATGTGTTTAAAAGAAGACCCTGGGCGGTTGGGATGGAGCTGCCTCTTTGATCTGCCGTGTGAAAGCGTGGGGAGCCGTCGCAGCCGGGGGCCGGAGAGGAGCTGAGGGGCTGGACAGCATCTCCGGGGCCAGCTCCCGCCGGTCGCCTTCCCCGGGAGGTTCCCGGAGGATCCCTCGCAGGGCCGCGCATCCGCCACGCGTTTCCTTACGGATGGAGGATGCTGGCTGAAGCAAAAACCGAGCGTGGCCATGAGCTGAGCTCTCTCTGGCGAGGAGGAAGGGACTCTCTTCTCCCCAGGATTAGCAGATGTCGTGCATGCGCGTGTGCCTTCACCCACGTGTGGCTAAATGAGCCAGAAACTCTCCTCTGCTGCCCTCAGAAGTATTTATTGCTCGGTGATATTTGCTGTAACACCTGAGAAGATAAGTCCCGGTGTCTTTAACATAAGCCTCTAGGATCTTTGTTCTTGGCAAGAATATTTTGCAGCAGTAGCGGCAGCAGCAGGATATTCTCCTCCGTTCATCAGTCCAACCCAAAATACCAGGAGGTTTCCAGGAACCTTGGTGGTTTTTTTTTTGCTGAAGAGCTGCATTTTCACTTCAGGATGACTAATGCTCACTGGGCTGGGTTTCAGAGCCGATCGCTCTGATTTACCAGGTGGAAAACGAAGGGGCTTTGCCCGCCCAAGCTCTGCTTTGAAGGCAAGAGGGGTGTTAAGAGGAGCAGACCCAAGGCGGTTTCCTAGCACAGTGGGTCGGGCAGTGGATAAACTGGCTTTGCACTGGAACAGGGTTTTCCAAGACAACTCCTGCCATATCTCCTCCCCTGTACCCAACCCTCGTGTTTTTTGTAAATTATTTTTCTTACAAACTATTAAACAGCGGTAGGGTTCGAAGCTATTAAACAGCAGCAGGGTTCACGTTACATCAAGGTCTGACTGATCCCCCCTGGGAAAGGCCATTTGTGGCTGTGATTGCTGCAGAGCGGTCACACAACGCTCCTGATTGAATTTTTCTGTCCGAAAGCAGCTTTATCGGCAGGATGAGGTTTTTGGGGATCAGATGTGTTTTCTAATGTCTGGGGAAGCTGTCATGCCTCTGGAGCCCAGCCAGTTTTCCCCAGCCTCTCCGTGGTGCTCAGGAGGAGGCAGAGGCATGCCAGTGCCCAGGGCGTGCGAGAACAGAGGAAGGAGACTCGTGGCGGGGATGAGGATGGGATGCTGAGCCCCACGAGATCCTGCTTCGGAGAGAGCCCCTCCTTGGGCAGCTGTGACAGGCTTTGAGCAGGGTGGATTCTCTCCGGCGGTCACCGTTGCCCGCTCCGCTGCCCGGCGATGCGGTACCCGATGCTGAGCTGCCGTGGAGCCCGTCAGCCCAGCCCTTCCCCGTTCCGGGCTCGCGCGGCTCTTCCAGCTGCGTTTTGCCTGTCAGGAGGCCGGCGGGGAGCTGGGCCGAGCGCCGTGTGTGATTGCTGAGCCCCCCGAGGGGAATCCTTCGTGGGTACGGCTGGCGTGGGCAGCAGGTCGGGCGGGGGGATGCAGCTGCCCGATGCGGTGCTGTGCCGAGCGCGGGGCAGGCGGTGGCAGCGGCGGCAGCGCCGGGGGTTGGCTTCTGTGTGGGCTGTGATGCTCGCCGTGGAAATCGCTCAGAAGGTTGTTCTGGATGGGAACAATCACCACGGCACTGATTCCCTTTCCCTCTCCACAACCACCAGCTGCTCCCAGGAGCCCGGTCTCTCTTGAACAGTTGTTACTGGAGCCCGTGTGGGATGGTCTCTCCCCAGCTGGATGCGATGCTTTGATGGAGGAGCGAGAGGGAGAGGCGTTAGGGCTGGACCGTGCGTGTGGAAATCCTGCTGCAATCCAGGATTTGCCTCCAGCTCACCCCTGTGACGCTGACAGGCTCTCCCTGCTCCCAGCCACGTGCTGGCAGACCCGGCCCTGGCTTTTTTAGGGGATTTCCCCTCCATTGGCCTTTCAGCTCAAACTGGGCGTTGTGGGAGGTCTGAGGCAGAGCGGGGAGAAAGGAGCAAGGAAGCGACCCGTGTGGCATGTGTGCAGGAAGGGGCTCGAGTGCTTCGTCGCAGCCCTCCTGGCTGGGGTGTAGCAGGTACTCGAAGCATCGGTTGTTTTCCTACCACTAGTAGTAACTCGAGATCATACTCTGTAAAATGAAATGGAGCTCTTCTTTCCTTGTTTAATTTTATGCAACTTAAAGGCCTTGATGAGGGTCTTCAAAGAGTTGCGGCTTGTAGCTGTTTTTATTGGGAAAATGAAAAATATGGTCATCCTAACCAGAGCTGTTGAAATAAAGGCCTTGGGGGATAGAGGTTCTCTTTGTTTTTAATTAAGAGCTTCTATCTCCTGTTCGTTGCCATTGCGCACTTCTGCAGTAGCAAGACATTAGTCTCGAATGGATTTTCTCATGGAATTAATTCTGTTGATGCAGAGCTGTCTGGGAGCCATTTCAAAAGGTGGCCAGAAAGGCCAGAACTCAGCACTTCCATCTCGGTGGCAAATATACGGTCTTTAAAACAACATATTAAAAAAGCCCTGTCCACTTGCTTGCTTTGAGAAGATTGGGTTTTCCCCTGGACTCGGGGAATCTGGGTTTGCGTTGTGCGGGTCGGCACGTGGGGATGCTGAGGGTGGGTCTCCCACTGCCGGAGGGGACGAGAAGTCCCTGGCGAGAGCAGAGTGCACTTGGACAGTGCGAGAGTGGAAAAACCCAGCAATATTTCAGCATTTCCAAGGGTTCAAAGAGCACCTTTGAAGAGCTTTCCCTCCTGGCAGCCGACACATTAAATTCTGCTGCACTAGCAGAAGCGCAGGGGTTTGGACACACTTTCAATTCCATTAAATACTTCTCCTGTAATTACCCTCGAGTTAAATGGTCACTGCGTCAAATTGCCTAGTAAAAGCCTTGTAAGAGGGAACCACTCACAGTCCCCTCGCAGAGACACGAGGCGTTAGCTTGCTGGGCGTCCCTCCCCGATCTCCTGCACCAGCCTCTGCCCTTCCTGCAGCTTGTTTCTTCACCGGTTATTAACCTGTAATTAGGTGCCTGCCAGGTTCTGTAGGATGCTGGGGTTGGAGCTTGGCTGGTGGAAATGTTTGCCACGGAGACGGGCAAACAAATCCGAGCTGCCGTAATTCCCGTTTCCTGGTTCTTCCCTGCAGCCCGCCCCACGTTCCGCGGGCGCAGCTTTCACTGTGAGTTACGCGCGTGCCAGGAGCCTTTCCCGCACTGGAGGAGGAGGAGGGTAATTTTGCTTTATGAGCTATTGATTTTATCCTCCAGGTCCCTTTCCTCCAGACAGATTGGGTTCCTAGGGCCGTGTTTAAAATAATGCTTTGCTCTTCACAGCCGTCTCTCTCTTTCATCTCGCCTCACCCCCCGGGTGGAGCGTGTCCCTCACGGGATGTTCCCCTCTCCCAGGATGCCCCATCCATTAACTCCTTCTCTTGCAGGTTGGATATTTCTGTTTGATTTTGCTCTGTACAGTTCTATATGTTTATTTGAAGGCCTGGAAGAAAGGCTTTGTTATATTTGCAAAGTAGGAATAAAGCCCTATTAGTCTTTATTGCAGTGGGTATCACTGTAGGGCTTCCCAGGACATCATCCCAGTTATCCATCAGGTCCCTTTCCCTCTTTCCATCACTACCGTGGTTAACGCTGTTGGGAAAACCATTCCCCATCCCCTTGAAATCCCCCTGGGCTCTGGTGCAGAATTAATATGTGAGGCAAAGGAACTTTCTTCCATGCTGGTGCATATGGCAACTTATGTATGTGACGGAGTCTAAAATTAACCAGCCCTTCTTAAAATCCATGTGTCCTGCTCCGAAGAGCTGCCATCCTTCCCAGTGCTCAGCCACCTGCAATCTGTTCTGCCTGCGCCTTTCCCATTATGTAAGCAAAAGGATTAATTGCATCGTTAGGTTCTCCTGTGTCCCTGCCGCCTCTGCCTCAGCTCCCATCTTTGCAGAAGGTCTCATTTCCGATGCCGCTTCTGTTTTCAAAGGAATCAGGCGCTGGGCTGTTTTTATTTTATTTTTAGAGCCTTTCCTTTTATCTTTTTCGGCAGTGTCCCACTGGGAGCTGCTCCAAGATTGCCGCCAAGGATGCGGCCGGGCTGCTGCCGGGGTGGGTGTCGCTCCCGACCCGGCACGCGTGAGCTGGGAGCTGCTGGCTGCGCTCCTCAGGTCTGTCGGGACACAGTTCCCATCGCAACCATCCTCCGGGGACCCAAAGTGCAGGGCCAGAAGCCTCCCATCCACACCTCACCTTCAGCCCGTGGGGTGCCAGTGGGTGGTGGGGAGCCCTGCGGCATTTTCCCCATGCATTCCCTTGGGAAACAAAAGCCAGCAGCAGAGCAGCTGAGGAACAAATAATTCGGCTCTGGGGGAAGGATGACTCCTCCAGCCCGTGCAGCTCTGGGCTTGGTGGCTCCCGAGCGATCGTGCCGGCTCCGGGTGTCCCCGTGGGTGTTGGTCGTCGGTTCAGAGCCACAAACGGGTCCTGTGGGGCCCTGCCGGGTCTCCTCCTCGAGGGCACGAAGCCCAGTGGCTGCTCCCCGGCATCGGACCCCTCCAGAGCTGGAGGTGGGTGACGGGTCCTCCCCGTCCTCTGCCACCACCGTCCCCAGCCCTCGCGTTTGCTTCCCCTGACCCGCTCTTTGTTCTGGCAGCTGCTCGCACCAGCCGTTCTCCGGAGGAGCCTTGTCACAGCGCGTTTGGAACCAATTGAAGTGTAATTGGGAGTAAATGGAGGAAATGGGTCATTTGCAAAATAGGTGCTTGAGTCGAGGGAGAAAAATAACCCTGATGCATCCCATCCCCCTGCGCTCGGCTTCGCCAGGGCGCAAGGGCTGGCGAGCAGCCATCCGTCTGTCCGTCCGATGGCTCCCCGGGGAGGGAGCATGCAGCTTGCAGCCCTGGGGAGCAGGGGGAGAACCCCGAAATACCTAGGTTTTGCAGCTTTCTGCACTTCTCTGCATTTTGGTGGGCTTTTGCCTCCCACTGGCCTGGCGCTGGGGCTGTGCCAGGATCCAGAGAGCTGGTATTTCAGAAGCGTTGACCTTCGGGAAGTCATTTCTCCTCGGTCGTGCCTCTAGAAAACCCCCTCACCAGCGATGTCTGCAGCACGGCTGATATCTGCCACCACCCCGTCCTTAAAACCAGTCGGGATCCCACCTCTTCCCTCCAGCTCTTCTTCCAGATCTCTGTATCCGCTGGCAAAGCAGAATAAGCGCTGGAAGATGCTGGGTGCATGCTTCCTTCCCAAACTCCGGCTGCTTTTATTTTGGAGGTGAGTGCTTTTGCTCTGCCAGATGCCAGAGCTCAGTGGTCACCGGGGTGGGTGTCAGGCCCTCGCTCCGCTCCCCTCCGCACCCATCCTTCCCTCACAGCTCCCTCTCTGGTACGCCAGCTCCAGGGCTGGGAGTGAAGCCTTCCCCGCGAGCGATCGCTCTGGCACTGGCCGTGTTTTGGTGAATCAGGCTTGCCGAAGGTGACTTTGGGTTTATTACATTAAACTGTCAAGGCTCACATTTCCGAGCGCTTGATTTACGCCCAGGATGCATCCCAGCAGCAAAGTCCGCAGCGCTTCCTAAAAAGGTGTCGCTGCTGGCTGGCCTCATTGCTCAAAATCTGGGACTTTATGGGCCTCCGCACCCCGAGCGCTCTTCCCCATGCCAGGCACGTTTTCCATCGTGTTCCAGGGGGATTAGCAGTTCCTCGGAGGTACGTGGGCTGAGGAGGCGTCGAATGGCTGCACACCCTCGGAGCTGGCAGCTTTGCCCTGGGAGTTGGGTGAAACGGGAGCGGCTTTTCCCCCTTGATGAGCATTGCCAGCAGCATGGGCAGGGACCCGAAACCCCCGGAGTGTGGGGGTGAGCAGGGGGAGACGAGAGAACAAATTTCAAGGGAGTCAAAACTTCTGTCCTTCGAGAGAAGGCAGTGGAGCAGCAAAGCATGATCCACGGTTTAAAATGCCACCGATAAATCTCATCTGGCCTAATTACCCAGCCTGGTGCTCAGGCTGCTGCTCAGTCCTGTGCAAGCCTGCCGCGAGACCGGGGTGTGTTGTGCCGAAAGAGGGGGAGCCACGGCGTGGCCCCAAATCCGCTGCTCAGGGGCATGGGGGACCCCCGGGCGGCATTCCCGTGGGAGCGTGGGGATGCTCTGCACAAAGTCCCTGCAGAGAGCAGCGCTCCGGGCTGTGGCAGGGGCACGCCGCCCTCAACGTCTCTCTCTCGGGTTGTCTGCCCTCCGAGGAGGGGGCACGCCTGGCCCACGCCGTTTTTTGGGGGAAAGGATGTGCGTTGGTAGGGCTGTGGCCAGTTCACTGCCCAGACCCATGGCCAGGCAGGCTGGCAGCGATTTCCTTGCCACCTGCATGAGCTGGGAGTGCTACGCGTGTATGACACAGGTGCACATGTGTGTGTATATATACACATATATATATATATATACACATATATATAAAACTGCTTGTTTTCCTGTTGTGCTAACACTTATTTATTAAAAATACCATCCATCAGGAGCTGCAACATCTGTTTGTGAAAAATAGCACATCCTTGGGCTGCAGCCAGGAAAATCATTTCATTACAAAATTGCAACTGTAAAGCAGCACAAAATCACAAACATACTGTACATTGAGATGCTTTTGTTTCCAAACTGCTCATTAGGAATGATACACGACCCAAAATTATACCCTGTGTAAGGTGAATTAGGAGAAAATGAGCCCATCCGACCTTCTAAGTGAGCAGCAGCTAGTGCAGTAATTATTATCTCTGGTTAATCCTGCACCCACTGCAAGTCTGTGCTCAAGTTTCCCTTTCCGTCCCGGAGGGGATACGGCTTCACATCTCTTCCGTTCTTCGTGCCTAATTCGGGCTGACAAGGAACATACTTGAGAGGATAGGAAATGAGAAGCCTGGCTTAAAGATTGTTTTATGTAAGGCAGGAGAGAGGATTGTGTCGCCGCTGCCAGGGGCTGCGTCCGGCCCGGTGCCAGGGAAGGGCTCGGGGGGAGGCGGAGGTGGAGGGGGGTCTGCGTGTGGTGGGGGGCTTTGCTCGCCACTTCCTAGGGTCCCCCTTGGCTCCCATCCCCACTCTCTCTCATTTCTTTTCTCCGCAGGTCTGGCAGTTCATCAGATAATCACTATTACCGTGTCCCTCATCATGGTCATAGCCGCTCTGATAACAACTCTTGTCTTAAAAAATTGGTAAGGTCCCTCCTGGGTGTGTTTGGCTGGGGGGGTGGTGAAGGGACAGGGACAGGGTGGGATGGGGGGGGTGCCTTTCCAGCTGCGAGTGCTCAAGCCCATGACAACCGCTTCGGAAAGGTGTTGCAGGAGAAATTGGGGGCTTTTGTACTGAAGCTTCCAGAGGAGGTTGAGGCACCGGGGTTCATCTGTGCCCCTGCGGCTCCCCCACCTCTCACGGGGCAGCGGGTGGCTTTGGGGAACAGCAGCACTGGGTGACATCTCCTCTGCCGCCTTGCTGGGGCAGCTTTGCTGCTGCTCCTTGAACCTTGAACCCTTGGCCTGGCTCTGCAAGCAGCAGTTGTGTTTTCTGACCCTTCCCTGTGACTCCAGGGACCGAAGGGCACCTCCTGAGCCCCTCGCATGCCCCTGCTCTGAAGCGTGCCCCATGCCCCGGAGCGCTCGTGTGCTCCTCCAGCTTAATTTGCTCCCGTTTATTCTCTCAGCATGCCTGGGCGTATGGCAAAATAGGTTAGCTGTTCGCTTCAGGCGCTCCCGACTTTACCTCTTTTCCCAGGGAACTGGCCTACTTTGAGGTCAGCCTGGCTGGTGTAGGGCTATGGCTGCAGCTCGGGGCCGGTGGGAGAGCTGCCGCATGGCGCTGCCGTGCTTGGTGGCAGCGGTTCCCTCCTCCAGCACTTCTCTCATCTGGTGGTTCCCTCCTCCGGCGGTTCCTTTCTCCAGCAGTTCCATCCTCTGGGTGTTTTCTTGTCCAGTGGTTCCCTGCTCCTGTGGTTCCATCGTCCGGCAGTTCCCTCGTCCAGCCCAGCTGCCTCCTGCCCTCCCGAGCTCTCCCCAGGTGCTGCTGCAGATCGGGTGCCCAGGAGGATGTTAGAAGCGGGGTGACGGAGGGGCCTGCTTGCTCCTCGGGCTGAGAGGAGCCTGTTTGCAGGGCTACAGAAGCACCTTGGTGTTGGCAGGGCTGTACCGAAGCGTTCCTCACCCTGCAGAGTTTGCTTGGTGGGAGCGGGCCCGCGGGGAGGCATCGGGAGCGCAGCCGGCGATGCTCATTTCTGTATCTCGGACAGGATTTACTTTACTAAACTTCCCTAGTTGTAGTGGTATTTCAGTGAAAGAGTGGGGAAGATATTTTACAAAACACTTGGGATTTTTCTCTAATAGTGGTCGTAAGCAGTACGTATCGATCCAGCCGACCACAGCTTGGCAGAACAGCTCGAGTAACCTAATGCTGAAGCCAAAAAGGGAAAAAGAAATAAATACAGTGATTAGTGTAGAATAGAAATTGTTTACAGTAAGTGAAATTGGGAAAACACTGGAGGATACCGGCAGGCGAGCTCGGCCAGCAGTCACAAGCTGTGTCACCAGCAGAAAAGCAGCACCCCGATGAGTTTGCTCCGCTCTAACGTTTGCCGGGTCGCTGTGGTTTCTCACAGCTGCCCCCAGCGCCGCTTGTGCAGGCGAGGGCTGGCCGCGGGCTGACCCAGATCACACCGAGCCCCCGGCCCCACCGGGACACGCGCTGCCCCCCGGAATACCCCTCGGGCAGGAGGGCGAGTGATAACCGGGTGCCTTGTGAGCGTCCTTCATGTCACGGCTGCTGTTGACGTGCCGTGGGGAGCCGGGGGCTGCGGTGGGGACCGTCTCTTTCGGTTGTGCCCCGGTGCAGAGCACGCTGTGCCCGCTGCCAGCAGCCAGTGCTGCTCCCAGGGCACCCCCGTGCTCCGGCAGCGCCGGCACCCCCACCTCCCGCCACCCTCCAAGTTACAATCTTCCGAAACTCCAGTATTACAATAGGCGCTGTCAATCCTCTTTGGGGGAGAAGAAGTGACATTTTAATGAAATCAACATCTGAACCCTTAAACGGGACCAGCCTGATGGAGGGCAGGTTCCCGCTCGCTGGTGTTCACCTCGTGTCACACTTACTGAACCTGAAGCGTTGCACGGCCCCGAGATCCCATCGGAGCCTCCGGAATCACTGAGGAGGGGGGCTGCCCACCAGCCGTCCCTCGGCTGGGGGGGGACTCTGTCTACTGTGTCACACCAGATTCCGAGCTCACTTATCCCGATAAGGTAAAACCTTTTGGTGCCTCCCAAATGGAAGGGGTTTCACTTCACTGTTCTCACCTACATCTTTTCACTTAAAAAAAGGCTTTCATTTCCTGCAGGTATACGCGTATGACTTGTTAAGTAATTCCTCTGGTGGTTAAAAGCTTGTCTCTGAAATTTAAATTTGATCCTTAAAAAAAAATTTTAAAAAGGCAAGCCGAACGACTGCTTGACCGAGGCTGATCTTTCCAAAGCGCCCGAATCCCAGTCTATCGGTGAGCAGCGTGTGGTTAAGGCGCGGCGCGCCGTGTCCCTTCCTCTCGCCCCAGCTGCGCGCAGAGCGGGCGCCCGCGGCGCAACAGCCACCAGCGCAAGCTGGACCAGCAAGAGGAGAGCTGCCAGAACCTGACCGACTTCGCCCCCGCCCGCGTGCCCAGCACCCTCGACATCTTCACCGCCTACAACGAGACGCTGCAGTGCTCCCACGAGTGCGTCCGGACCCCCGTCCCCGTCTACGCGGAGGAGGCGTTGCGCTCGCCCGGGGATTATAAAACAACCTTCAACGGAAACAGGTGAGGCTGCCGGCGCGGTTCCGCTGCGGGCCGTGCCTGGGGGAGATGCCCTGGGAGCGCGTGGCAGAGCTGCCTTGCTGCAGCTCTCCGCGCCGTGATGCCCGCCCGCCCTGTAGCGCAGCACCGACACGGCCGCGGGACCCCTCCTCCCGCCCGTGAGGACAGACGGACGGCTCGGCACCCCTGTCCCTGCCGCGCCAGCCGGCCATACCCCCTGGCAGCTCCGCAAGCCCTGGCAGCATCCGGCACCGCGCGCTTTTCCGCTCCCGACTGCTGCCACCAGCACGTAAAACACTGCTGGATCCATCTTCCAGCATCCGCGCTGTCTCCTAAGAGGCACCGGGAGAGCTGCCGGGTTGCGAGCGAGCGGGGTGATTAATGGAGGAGCGGGCGGCGAGAGCCAAATGAGCTGTTTGTCTGGCATGAAATAATGATGCACTAATGAGGGGTGGAAGCTGCGAGCCCTCATGCTGCGGGGCCCTTGCCTGCACGGGGAGGGAGCAGGTGGGGGCTGAGCTCTCCCCGGGCCCTGTCACAGGGCGCTGGTGCAGTTTCAACCCCAGTAAAACGCATGTTCCCCCTTAGAGCTAGGGGAAAAATCAGGAGGAGGGTTTTGAGGGAGAAAATGAGCAACTAGTGCTTCATGCAGCCTGGCTGGATCGTGGCGTGAGTGCTGCCCGCCGCTGACATCTACCTGCACGACGGACAGACGCCCAGGGGCCAACAGCCTGACAGACACCTTTTGAGCCGTCATCTTCTGCGTGCGCATGGGGTTTTGCTAGTTCACATTTTTCAGGCTTTCCTCAGATCCCGGAAGGCAGAAAATTGACAGGGATTTTCAAACCATTTCGTGGAACGTACGCATGCGTTGATTCTGGTGTGGAGCCCAGCCGAGCAGTGCCGGGGTGCCCTGCGGGACCCCAGAGCCTGTGCGGGTGCTGCGGGACCCCAGCAGCGGGGAGGGGGGCAGGCGGGAGGTGCTGCCGTTTGGGACCAGCTTATCCCAGAGCAATTGGCTGCCTTGAGGTGCTCGTGCACAGGGGTAAAAACGTTCCATAGTGCAGTCCATCTTCTTCCTCTTCCTCCTCTGCTTTGCACCTCCCTGGTTTCTAAAGCCATTAAGCCCATTCAAAGCATTACTTTAGAGATGTGGGTTTTTTTACTCTAAAAAAGCTGATTTTTGCAGCAGGCCACCTCGGCTTGCTCCTTGTGTTTTACATACTAGCATGTGCAAGCCCCTTTTTCTGCTTGCTGCAGACCCTCTTCTTCTGACCGGCATCTTATTCCCGTGGCCTTTGTGTCTGAGAAATGGTTTGAAATCTCCTGCTGACTGGCCGAAGCCTGTTTGACTTCTGGGGGCAGGGCAGACGCCATCGGGCTGTTTCCTGGTACGTACCACGCTCCCCCGTGTCCATCCCGTGCCCACCCCGTGCCCACCCCGTGCCCGCCCTCCCCTGCCTGGTGCCATCCTCCCGCTCACGCTTCTCTTGGGACATCAGACCCGAGCAGGGTGGCTCCCCTGGCCGGGACAGCCGGCCACGTCTCCCACCACGGATGGGACGTTGGGTACCAAAATGGCTTTTCCATGGAGGTGAATTACAGAGAGGCCTGAGCTAAAAGGCAGGGACTGGGATGGATGTGGACTTAAGAGCAAAGGGTCCCTGGGGCAGCCTTGAACTTCAGCCTGTTCTCATGGTTCCAGCCCACCTCTAAAACCTCCACAAGCGATAGTAATTTCCGTGCTGTGAGATGGCCTGATCTGTAATTAACCTCTTGTTGCATGATGGACAGCCTGGCTTGGTCTAGAGTCACACATGCAACATGCACGCTCTATCAGTACCCAGAAGCTCATTTGATGATGTTTGCTGTCATAAACACTTCCATGCTCCTGCTGTGAGGGTACCGGGGTCTTCCTCTTCCTCCTCCTCCTCCTCCTGCTCCCATTCCCCTCCTTGCTGTGTGGGAAGCCGAGCCTGTGTGCACAGTTGCCAGCAGCCAGGCTCACGCCTCGGGTACTGCTGCAACCAAAGGAGTACAACGATGTTGTGTTGGCTTCAACAGTACATTGTTTGGGGATTTTTTCTAAATTTCTTTTTTATTTCTTGGTTGGCTTGAGCCCTTTTCGCCTCCCTGTGTTGCTTTTGAAGGTGGCACGGCCGGTAGTGGCAGCAGGAAAAGCAATTAGGGTTCCCGGCGTGCCAGCTCACCGTGGGGCAGCGGTGCCCGTTCGAGCCACGCGCTCAGGTGAATTAATTGGTCTGTCCCAAGTCCCTGCTGTAATGAATCATATATTCAGTGTAAATGAAATTTCCAGCCTTCCCTGACTGCAGCTTGCTCGGAATAGCCTGTTTAACATTATGCTCAGCTATTGAACACAGAAATGTAATTAGATTAGAATGGAAGGGAATAAAAAGTTAATGGTCTCGGCTGTGCTGGGGGCTGGCTGTGTCTGGGCAGGCCGGGTGCGTGGGCAGAGGGCAGAGAGCAAAGCAGGGCTTCAGCTCTGCCCCCCGGCACCTTTGCCCCCGGGGTCTGGCTGGCACGGCCCCACTGCTCAGCCGGGGCTCTGCCCCCCGAGAGCTCTCCTGGCTGGGGGGGCTTCACTGGTGAGTTTAAAAGGCTCTCTCTCCCCACCTAGTAATGTTCTCGATATTTCTCCGACTCTTTTGTTGTGGCCACTGTTGGGGGGGACAAAGCGTGAAGGTGCCTGGTGGGAGAGCGGGTGTGAGTGATCAAGGACAGCCGGAGCATCGGCAGGGAGGTTCCGCAGGGTATTCCTCAGCAGCGTGGGCGGACACTGGCTCTGGAAAGCAAAGAGCAATAATCCAGTGTGCCTTTTCCACCGTGAGCTTTGTAGTTTGTGACATCTGTCCATTGGCTTGACATGATTTAAAAAAAAGAAAACACAAAACCCAAGCCAGTCATACTTGGATGCTATCAGCAGCATTCATGCCTGAAGTAAAGGGAAGGAGAATGAGCAGCTCCGAGCTGTTGCCCACTCTGGGAAGCTGGTGCAATTCCCACCACTTCTGCCCAAGGTCCTGTGAAACTCTGTGCCAAAAACCACACCTTGGTCATCTCCATAGAGTTCTTTAAATAGTCCAAAGCCAGTCTATTATGCCTTATTAAATCCTTGAAATTCTCATTGACCTGTTCTCATGGAATCCATAAAACATGTATTGACGTGCTCTGGAAAAATCGACCCAAGTCGTACCTGGAGCTTTAGCTCCATAATAGTGTTTCAATCATTTATACAGTTCTGGAAGCTGATGTTTGGTTTCATTAATGTTAAAAAAATTAGATTAATCCCAAAACTGTTCTCTGCACGTGTACGCATGCATATGTGTCTGTATTTGCACCAGGGTATTTCTGGAACACACATGCCCAAGTGGTACGTCATGGTAAAAAGCAGGTGATTGCCATAGATCCCTACTGTATGGGGGAGTAATGCAGAGGAGGTCACCGCAGCACGGATCACAGGAGAAACTGCCCTCATCCCAAAATGAGATCAACCCAAATCCTTTAGAAGTCCCAAAAAAGGCTGCTTAATATTTTTTCCACACTGTGCTATTTCCCATGCAGGTTTGCCTACATCTTTTGCTGGGGCACGGTTGTTAGAGTGAGGAACTGCCAGGGTCACGACGTGTACGCGTCCTGAGCAGGCTTTGCTCTGCTCAGCAGTGCTGCATGGCTGTCCCCGCAGCCTGTGGTGGTCGATGCAGCTCCCCAGAGCTTCCCAGAGCTCCCCGAAGCCTGCAGTCGAAAGATGCGTCACAATCCCATGCAAACAGCGTTTTGCATGAACGCATATGTGCCGGTTGGGACACCCCACAGACAAAATGAATATTTCAGGTTTCACATGTCACTGTGTGAGGTAAAACCTTCCGAGAGCAGATGGCGTGGCTGGTGGTACCGCGACAGCTCCCTGCTGGGTTGTCCCCCGTCCCCGCGGTTGCCTTGTGCTGTCACCGGCCGGACGCTGCGTGGCACCGGAGGAGCGGTGGGGCTGAGGATGCTGTTCCAGCTCTCGGTTCTAGAGGAGAGGCTGGTGGAGAAGGAGAAGCAGCTGCTTTGAGCAGCATCTCTCCAGGAGGGATGGCTGTTTTCCTGCCTGGCTTTCAGCGTAGCGGTGACAGAGCCCGACGGTGACGTGAGCGGCTGCTGACCTGCTGCATCCCGGCAGAGGCAGGAGGATGCTCTGGAGCATGCGGAGCTTTCTGGCCGGAGGAGTTATGTTCCTCTTTCTCTTCCCAGCCCCCGTCTCTCGGTGCGTGCAGAGGGGGGCACGAGGGGGGCAGCCCCCAGCCAGGGCGAGCAGAGGCGGGGGCCCTCCCCACTCCGCAGGCACACAGCCATGCACTGGTGCAGGTCAGACACTGCACCGGTCTCAGTGCTGGAAACCTCTCTCCTTGGAAAGGCTCAAAGCACTTTACAAGTTTTAATTGATGGCACTTCACAGCTCTTCGCTGTCTAATAAGCGAATTAGTACTACTGAACGTGTAGAGTCAGAGCTGGAGGCACGAGACAAACGCTGTGGCTAAGGACAAGGTTGGCAGGGCAGGGAGGGTGTGCAGACATTTCGAGTAGATGAGCACCAGGAGGCTGGCTGGGGTTTAACGGGGACTTTACATAGTACAGCCCCTCCACACCGTGCGAGCACCGGACGCCGTGCTGCCTAACTGGCAGTCTGGCATTTAACAGCGCTGGTGGCATCGTGAGGCTGAGCTCTCAGCGAGCAGATGCCAGGGAGCCGTCCCCAGTCCCGGGGAGCTGCCAGCAGCAGCGCCGAGCCCGCATCAGGGAACCTGGCGAAACTCATCCAGACACACAGCAAGCGGATGCTGAAGTTATTCCCCGGGGCCGGATTCATCCCGTGCCAACGGGAGCGGTGGGGAGGGCTCTGGTGCCGGGGGCAGCGGCTGCCGGAGCTTTTGGGGCCCCGCAGCAATTCCTGCGAGCGGGGGGACCCGGCAGGCCTGGGGTACCAGGAGTTAAAGGACCCGTGCCCCCGTCACGGCAGGTGCCAGAGGAGACGCAGTGCCAAGGCGGAGGCAGGAGCAGCCACCGCTTTGCAAACCAAAAGGCGAAATTTGCTGAAGACTCTCATGGCCTTGGCTGGGCACTGCAGCAAACTGTGGCTGTTTTGGTTTGATTTCATACTGGCTTTGGGGCTTTCTGAAATGAAGTTTGAGATTTTGCATTATTCTTGTCCTTAATCCCCCTCTCTTTGACTGAAAAACCCCATGGAATGAGATTATACAAAAATCTGTAAGGTTGATCAAGCGGTGACCTACTTTGCACAAAGAGGCTATTTGGAATACAATATAAATTTTACATCCCGCAATGCATGCATTAAGTAGTATTCATCCAGAACTATGTAAATGTTCGGCAGCGCTGTTAGGGAAGTGGCGATTTGAGACCTGAAAATCATACTGGTACGGTAACATTGATCTGACCCTCGCTTTTGCACAAGCCAGTTAAAATTTACAGTATTGTATGGTAATTCTGTGCTTTGAACACGACGAGCAGCTGCTGTGATGGCTCCATTCTGCCTAACAACAGCAAATGGTTTGTATTAACATTAACAGATAATGAGTCATCATAAAAAATCCAGGCTTGTCTTCAGAGGAGGAACAGCAGTCCCAACACAGCCCCGGTGCGGGAGATTAAGGACTCTGTAAAATCTGTCTCGCTAATTAAGACTTCAGTGTTGTTCTTGGAGATGGTATATGTTGGGCATCTTGCTTAAAAATAATGCTGAAGAATGAACCCTTGACAAAAAGCATATTGGATGTTGCAGAGCTAATAACCAGCTCGTCAGGGGTCGCAGCGTAGCTTAGGGCATTGCGTGTAACGAGCACGCTATAGGCAGCACTTCTGCGTACGTGGGGCTGTATGTAAAGCCCGCACGTGGGTGGCTGTCTCTTGGCTGTGTTGCAGAATATACCGCTGTACATACAGCCACAGACACGTAAAGCAAGTGGCCACACGCTAATGAGGGGGAATAATTGTATTCGCATAGGGGTTTAAAGATTACGTAGGGAGAGATCTTTCAGAAGACGGCAAATAAATAGCTTAAGAAGAACTTCAATAGGATCTCTGGTTTTGATGCTTAACCAATTCTCTATTGATTTCTTTAGGGCATTTAACTTTAGAAAATCTTGTTAGTACTCATCATCGTCTTCTCATCTGCCAGAGCACTTGCTGCTCTTAGCCCAAGTATGAAACGCTTCACAACACAAGGATGCTCAGAAATAAATCACGCGTTGGAAAAGGCCCCGAGGAGGTAAAAGTGTGCAGTAAAGGCACACCGAAGCCTCTCGGTCACTCCCAGTGCTCCCCGAAAACGTCCCCATTCCCACATGTGCCTCCCTAGACCGAAGCTGCCCTGCCGCACGGCGGGGAAGAAGCTGGGCAGGGCTGGGGCTTCTCCGGGGAGGCAGGAGTGGTGGTCCCGGTCCCGAAGGCAGGCTGGCAGCTGGGGGAGGTCACCGCCATCCGCTTCCCCCAAGCCCCGCTCCCCGGGACGCGCGCCCGCGGCCGTTTGCTGCCCTGAGCCCTGCTGGGCCACGGCTGGGAGGGGGGGGAACCCCCGGCTCCGGGGGGCAGCCAAGGAGCAATGAGAGTCATGATGCCTTTCCCTGTCGTGATTTAATCTTTGTTTTTCTTCTCGTCCTTAACAGGATTCCATTGGTGAACCTGTAAAAAATATAAAAAAATAATGGGTTACCTGTACCTACCATTTATGTTTACCAGTAGGAGACTCAAAGAGCAGCGTTCTATGGGCCAAATATATTTTTATAAAAATGAACACGCCTATAGGTAACTGCGTTTCTCAAAGAGCGTGTTTTTTGGAGAAGAGAAAGAGAAATGTGCGAGCAAAGAATCCTGTGGAGGAAGAGGAACCAGCGAGGGCCTGGGAGGGAAAGACTGAGCGCCTGGAGCCTGGACATGGACTGTGACTCTGAACCTGTGCCAATAATACCATTATGTGCCATGTACCGATGCAAAGACTTCGCGAGAAGCCGAAGCTAAGTCGCTAACGCCTAGAAACGTTGTGGAGGACGAGTGGGGCATCTCTTCTGGTGGGGTCATTCATTCCGGTCCATACGCATACATACATACGATATATGTAGAGAGAAAATATATATATATACACACACAAACACTTTTTGTACTGTAGCAATTTTTGAAGATCTTAAATACTCATTTTTAAAGAAGATGTCATGGGCTAAAAGTCTCGTTTCTTTAACATGCATAATATGAACTAGGTGAACTGATGTTTTCTACTTTGGCAGCTTGCCTTTCAAACCTATATGTGTATATATAGGTAGACATATATACATATATATACGTGTGTGTGTATGTATAAACATATATATGTATGTATACATATATATATATATAGTTTTGGTTCTTTTTGGAAATGCTTTTGCAGCGGCGGGGGACGGCCGGGGCTGTGCTGCTGCGGGGGAGCCGGGGAGAGGCTTCCCAAAAAACAGCCCAGAGCGCGGCTGTGCTGCCCTGGGGCTCCCCCGGCTCCGGCGGGGACGGCGGAGCGCTCGGGAGGCTGGTCTGGAAGGGAAGGAGAACGGACACGGGCTGGGACGAGACCTGGGAGGATGCTCTGGGCCAAATTCACAAAGTGCATTCCTGCTGCGGGAGGCCGGAGGGAGCGTGGCAGGGTGGCAAGAGGGGCTCCCTCCCACCCGCCGGCGGGCGGGGGGCTCCCCACAGACTCCTGCACCGTCGTGTCCCCGGGGAAGGGCCGCGAGTGGGACGTGGGCAGGGAGCTCGTGGCAGGGGGGACACCCAGACCCCAGCAGCTCGCAGCGAAGGGTATCCCCAGACCTCACAGCCTGATGCCTTGTCACGGTAGGTGGGAAAAAGGCCGAAATTTCAGGGTCTGCCCGTTGTTTCGCAGAGCTGCGGTCCCCGCTGCACGAGGTGTGATGCCTCGGGGCCGGCTGAGGTTGGGTTTTAGGCATGGACTTTCAAAGGATGGGCCTCTCTTGGCACAAGAGATGAACTTCAGGAGTGAGATGTGGGAGTATTTTGGGGAAATGGCTTCTAAACTGGCCACGACACCAAAGCTTGCTCAGCTCTGTGAGAAGCAAGAGAGGAACGAGCCCTTTGGCCCCTGACCCGGGCCACGGCCGGCGAGCTCCGGGGAGCCTCTTAGCTCTCACGGTCCCGGCTGGGTTTGCTGTGGCAGGAGAGGAGGCAGCACGCTGCCCACAACCACGGGGATCATTTAACAGCATTAAAAAGGGAATCCTGCCCAACGCTTTGCCAGCGAGGTACGGTTTGGCGTGTTGCTCTAGAAGGACATCCCATCGCCCGTCCAGCTCCTGCTGGGGTGGGTGTTTTGGTGGGTGCTGGTGAGCACACCAGCCCGCCCGCAAGCCCCATCCAAAAAGTCTTTGCACGGAGCCGGGTGCTGCTGTCAGGGCGGCAGTCCGTGCCATGCCGTGTCCCTCCAAACCGGCGCAGCTGGGAGAGCCGGGCAGGGCCGGGGGGATGGTGGCAGCGGGCTGGGGTCTCCCAACCCGCCCGGTGCCTCGCCATGGTTTGCTTCTGCTCTTTAACACGTGTCCTGCCCCAGGCCGGGGCTGGCCCACATCAGCGGGGCCAAGGCAGAGCTTGCGGAGGGCTCCCGGGCGGCTGCACCACGCGGTTCACGGGAGGGTTTGGGTCAGGCACCGGGATGGGGCTCGTTTGGGGTCGCTTCGGCATTACGTGGGTGGGAACGACAGCAGAGTTCAGACCAAAGTCCTCCAGTTCTTTTTGTAAACTGCCCTTCGTAAATACTAGCGATTTTTTAGAATTGTCCAGATACACATTTCTACTCATCCACTGATTATTCAGCTCCATTTCTTTATTATAACGAACATGCAGTTTAAAAAAAAAAAAAAAAAAAAAAGAAAAAAAAAGTAGAACCTTCTGGTATTGCGCATAGCCACGTGTGCAGTCTCTTGTTTCCGTATCCCTTTCTGTCCTTTTCTGATGGAATTGCACAGTCTGGATTATTTTTCCTGAAGTTTTGGAAGCCACCCTGGGAAGAAGTCTTCCTTGCCAGACCTGACGGTTACCTGCGGACTTGAGCCAAACATCTCTGAAGGTATTGGTGATTTCCCTGTGACTCCAATGAGCCTCGAGCATTGCCTCGGGCACGTTCTGCACCGGGGTGGCTGCCGACTGGCAGCTGGAGAGGAGGAGGGGGGTCCCTGTTGCTCCTGGCCAGGTTTTGGTCCGTGTCCGAACCCGTTCCTTCTGCAGAGGTGGTTTCTCATGGGTGCTGAGGTGGGCGGCACCAGAGACGTGTGTCCCCGGGGCTGGGGCTTGGAGTTGGGGGTTATTTAACAGGGCTGGGTCTCCTTAGGCTTCTGGCAAGGAGATCTGCTCTTGTGTTTCCTGAGAGCAAACCTTCCCATGATTGGGCTGGGCACTGGGCAGGGGGGGTCTGCTGGGCAGCTCCCGTGGCTGGCTCCCCGGGATGTGGGGTGGGATGCCTCCCCGGGACGCCCCGGGCTGGAGGAGCAACACCCCCCCCCCCCCCCCCCCCCCCCCCCCAAGCTTTAGCCTTTGCTGGGAAATGTGGGGTGCGTGTGCCCTCGGGGTATCCTGGGGGTCTGCCCTGAAACAGGGAGTGCTGCGTGGGGTCCCGGCCTCACTGCCAGCAGCCTCCTGTGCACTCTGGGGGGGAGCTCTGGTCCATGGCGGGGGGCAGGTAAGAGCGCGGTGTGTTACCTTGCTTGGGTGACCACCCCCATCACCACGCAGAGGAGCACCCCAGGAGCTGCGACTGCTCCAGGGCGATCCGTCACCTCGGTATATTGGGGCGTTTGTGTTTTACTGATGTAAATGGTGCAGCCCCTGCAAATCACCCTTGCTGGCACAGTTTCTGAATTCTCCCTCTTTGTTTGACTTTGCTGGCATCAGTCCACTCCAGCTCGGGAGCCGCGTCTGTTGTGCTTCACCCGTTGATCTTCCGATTTATTTGTATGTGCTGGCTGCACCCAGTAGTTCTTACTGGTATTCCAGTGTAATCTCGACAGCAATTTGACGTCATAAAATATATCTCAACTCCCTCGTTCCCGAGCTTTTGAAGCATCGTTCTGTGTTTCTGTGTGCGTGGAACCCGCTGCCTGAAGGGGAGTCATCGGGCAGAGCCGGGGGCTGGCAGGGCAGCGCCGGTGCCGGTGATGGAGAGGTGCCCTGGCCCGAGCCTGGCACCCAGCTCCCGGGAAATTCCCTGCGGAGCTGGGGGCAAGGAGGGGGGAGTGTGTGTGTGTGTCTGTGCGTGTGTCAGGGAGAGAGAATGAAGGCAAATAACTTTGACCCCAGACAACAGGAGCAGGTTTCTGATGTCCAGGACTTGCATGAGCTTTCCACATAGTCTGCAGAAGGACACATCCTGGTCACTGAGAGATGGGCGGTGAACCAGGGAACAAAAGTAGATGCACAATCTTCCCTTATTTATAAGGACCAACAGCACTTGCACTTTATCAGAGAAACCCTCCCATCCCTATGCATGCCAAGCACACCAACAAGGGACAACTGCCAGGAGGAAGGAAAGGAGGGAAGGAAGAAGTGAAGGGCTGGAGCTGCAAATGCGATGATTTCTGAGGCAGCATCCTAGCATCCCAGTGTCCTTCCTAGTACAGAGAAATGAACTGTGGTTATTTCATTCCCTGCTATTGATGAAAGCCAAAAAAGAGACAGAAATGAAAACATAGTCACGTTTTCATAGAATAGACCTGTTGAGCAGCTCTTTCACACCAGGGAAAAGGCAGGCAGGTGTGGTGGTTGCAAACACGTTCCCTCAGGAACCTTGCCACGTTTCGGCCGCACTGTCTCGCCCCGAGGTCTGGCCACTGCAGCCACGGGTGATGGCTCTAGATGGGCTCCTTCCATCGCTGCCCTTTGCCGGACACAGAGCTTCATCCTCAGCTGGTGGGAGTTGCGCCAGGTTTTGTTGGCTTGAGCCAGCCCAAAGCCTATTCAGCAATAATGGGGGAGGTTTTGCCAACGCTGGTGCCACCCAATACTTTGATTTGGCTGGAGCCCCTTGCCCAAGCAGCGGGGTCTTGCTCCTGTACATGTTCGGAGAGGACTTGCACATGTTTGGAGAATTAGGGATTTTTCCGTTCTCATTCAGAAGCTGAGCTCATTTTCCAGCCCGGTAGCAGGTAGCAGGAAATGTTCCACCGTGAAATACAGCCCCGTGTGCTGGCCGGCATCGTTTGCGTGGTGACAGATTGAGCAACGGCTTGCGAGCAGCGAGGCGGTGATCGTCCCCGCTGTGCCCGGGGCGGTCGCCGTGCCAGGGAGCTGCGGGCACGTGTGTGGTGGGACTCGATGGATGTGCAGTAAATCCAGGGGAGCAGCCGCAGCGGGGCATCCACCACCACCTCACCAAACTACATGCCCTTTCCTTGGAAAACCAGAGCTTTTTACTGTGTTTTGTTTCATTGTGGATCTGGCAGCTTGGGGGAAAAAAAAAAAAAAACAACAAAAAAACAAAAACCCAAGGTTTTGCTCCTTGCTTTGCCATAAACTTGCAGCTAGCTGCTTCTTGTTGCTGTTTGGTTCATTTTACGGATTTCTTGGCCCCTTAGTAGTTCCTAAGAAATGCGCCAGAGCTGCCGAAAGGCTGCCAAGTCCCCCCGGCGTATGGTGGTGTGTCCGTGTGCCGTTGTGGCTCTGTCCTGGAGAGGGAATGGCTCAGGCTGAGCCCTTCTCACCGCTAGCCTCCGCAGGGACCTGGCCAAGCTGGGGGGTCCCATGCCGGGATGGCAGGTGCTCCCCCGGCAGAGGAGAGCCGGGCCCTTCCTGGGGCTGTGTGGGACCTCTCCTCCACCCAAATTCCTTGCAAACACCACGCGGGAGCTGCGAGTCCTTGGGTCAGGGCTGCTTGCCGCGGCCAGCACCACGGGGCTCTTTTCTGCACCCAACTAATCTGGTTTGGGGCGTCAGGTGCGAGCTGCCACGTCGCGGCACCTTCAGGTACCGCGGGCAGGTTTGGTGGGGTTTGGTACAGAAGCCCCTGATTTTTGCCAGCTGGGGTATCCCGAGGGCAGCAGCGTCCCGTAGCACCCGCAGGCACGCAGGGCAGAGCGGGTCCCCCGGGGCTGCCCGTCTCTCCAAATCTGATGGTTTACCTTCACTCTGTCTTCCCAGGTAGAGAAAAGGGTGGCCCATGGCAGCGGCGGTGGAGGGGCCGGGGGGAGGCGTGCTCCGGGGGGTTCCCCGGCCTCTGCACCCTCCGTGCCATGGCCGGGGGCTCGGAGCGGCGACAGCAAACCCAGCACAGGAGAGTGCGCGGGGGGCGGATTTCAGGTTACCTCTTCTCCATTGGCAGCTTGTTGCGAAGGAAGGTCGTTCAGCTAAAATGGTAGTTAAATAGTAGATATTCTACACATATTATATATTTTGTAAAAAAAATAAAAATAAAAATAAAAATAAAATAGAACAAAAATATATATATAATATCTCAGCCCACCCATTTCAGGATGAATGTGGTTGGAATTTTGGTTCAACCAGGTATAAAATCTGTAAGCGATTTTTTCAAAACCAGCAAGAAATCCCTCACCATTTCAGAAGTCCGTGGGTTTGGTCTCCAGATCTCATGTAATGCTTCTCACGCATTTTTAAGAGTTACTCCCAGCGTTTGTAGGTACATTTTTAATAGTGTCACGAGTGGAGATAATATTTACTTTGAGAAAAAGTATATGTTGCACAAAAATGTACACTAAGGGCACAGATTTCTGACCCAGATTCTTCTATTTTAGGTTCCGAGGGGTTTATTTTTTTGTTTGATAGGACATGTACAGTGAAGTTTACACTTTATTTTTATTTTGCCAAAAACCGTTTTCTAACATGAGACAGCTTTTACTTTGTAACCGGTTTTACATCACTGAGTACTTCTTTATTTTCCTGGGAAAGCCCTGTGCCGTGCGGTGCTGCCGCGCGCGCCGGGGCGATGGCGGCGTGCCGGGGAGCCGGCTGCCCGCGGGGCCGCGCAGGCCACAGCTCTTTTCTTCCCGAGTGGTTTTTAATTTGTCTCTGTACTTCGAAGCTGTGTATTTGGAAGCACTGTAAATGCCACCCTATACCGATTTCCCTGTGTATATTTAGTACTCTGATGTTGCTATTAAAACTGATATGAGAACCGCGCAGCCGGGTGGTGACTGGGTTCCTCTGCGCCGCGGCCCCTGGGGAGGGGACAGGGGTGTTTCAGGGTCGGGGGGGCGACCCGTTGTCAAGAAGAAGCCCAGGGGCTTCCCTGGAGAAATCTCCCTGGCTGCGCACCCCTTGGGCAAGGGGCTGAGTGCTGGCCCTGCCTGCATCCCAGGAGGAGGGTCTCGCGCATCCCCTCGGGGTGCCACCGCCGCAGCACCCACCTCTGGACCCTGTGGCAGAGGCAGGAGGGTGCCGGGTCCCCAGGCTCACCCCCTGTCCCCTGGGGCTCGGGGGGGACCCGTGGTGTGCGTCGGGATGAAGTGCATGAAAGAGGGAAGCCCTTGAATAGGACAGTTAGGGAGTTAATTAAACATCACTAATGATGTTTTAAATAAACAGCTTCGCAATAAGGTAAGCAGGCGTTACGGAATTGCTTAACCCAGATACATGTTTTACATAAAGAGACATTTTGCCGTGAGCAGATGTGTATTAAAATGGTATTTCTTGTTGGGAAGTTGGGTCTGAAGTGGGGGATGATGGTTGGCTCTCGGGCCGTCGTGCTCCCAGGTGGGGCTGGGCTTCTGTCACACAGCCGTGCTCCGCTCGCCAGACAGACGGACGGACGCAGGGACAGCTTCCAGAGCCCCGCTGCGCTCCCGCCGGCGTCCTCCCTTTCCCCGGGACACCGCGCGACAGCGTGGCTGCGACTCTTTGAAACTCCATCTGACCTAGAAAGGGGAAAGAAATGAAAAAAGCCTTCTTTCAGTGCCTGGGTCGGCTTTGAAGAGGGATGATGACTTGAGAAAGACGGAGCTTGGCACAGCCACCGGCTGTTTTGGCTTCCAGACCCCGCGGCCGCAGCCCTCCCACGGCACCCGGCCCCTTTGCCGCCCAGCGGCACACCAGAAGGACCGGAGATGCAGCCCGGCCCAAAAGCTCTTCTGTGGGAAAATATATAGGAAAATAGGGAGGGAGAAAGTGAGATGCTCTTCATTTTAGGGCCAAATTGCCAGCTTAAATCACTGTGACAATGTGTACAAGCTAACAGGATGCGAATGGCCCCGGAGCTGCATATATCAGCCAGAGAGCCCTGTTCGTTTCCAGATACGAGTGGGATTTCAGGGCATGAAATACAGTGTTGGGATCTCATTCCTTTCCCTGCTATTTATCACAGCCGGAAACGTACTCACCAGTCTGAATTGTTGCGAGTGTCACTGCTGGGAGAGCAGAAGAGAAATATTGTGCTGAGCCATGCAGCGTGGGAGAGGGGCTGTGGGGGATGCGGAGGAGCTGAATGGCTCAGGCTGGGGGTGCTGTGTGGGGCTGCACGGATTTGCAGGGTTTGCTCAGACAGGTTGCAGCCTCTCGTGGCCGCGGGCACTGGCCAGGCTGCAGGAGCAGGCAGCGACTCGTCGCCTCTCTGCTACGGGGATGACTTCTTGTGCTCCGTGAAAAAAGCGTTGCTGCAGGAGCTCCAGCCCAGTCCAGCAAGGTCGGCTTCCTGCATTTCAGCCGAAGGGGAGAACCAGCCAAAACAGCATCCCCACAGAGATGGCTGTCCCTTCCCCCCTCCAGCCCCCATCGCCCCCAGCACAGGGCCAGCAGTACCCCCTCCCAAACCAGCAGCATCCCCTCCCGAGCCAGCAGCACCTCCTGAGCCGCTCACCCGGCACGCTGTGCTCCGGGGTGAACGGTGCCCAGCGCGGTCCCCGGGGCCGGAGGGGCCTGGGCTGTGTCATCATCCCCTTCCCAGCACCCAGGGCTGTGGTCTCTGCGTCCCTTCGGCGCTGCCTCAGCCCAGCAGCGGGGTGAGGCTGCAAAAGGAGGCTGGAAACAAAACACGAGCGCACTGATGCCGCAGCACACAGTTCTGTTAAAAAGTAGGACTAAGCATTATCCAAGTTTAATTATTATAATTATACCGGGGCGAAGTAATTGCTGGAGATATTTTAAGCATCAATCAACATGCTATTTTGAAGAACGAAGCCCTGATTTTTCCAGGGCTAGGTAGTAACCGTCAACATGCAACAATGCTGCCTGCAGAAGGAGGAGCCCACCAAGGAAGGTTTTTTTCAGCTGGTCCTGTTTCCTTCTCTGCAAACAGGCATTTGGGGCAGGGGGGAGGTGGAAAGGGATCCCCTTGTCATCGGGAACCGGTCGTGCCGGTGTCCCCGTGTCCCACAAGACGTGTGCTGGCTCCTGGCGCCAGGCTGGGCTGCAGGAGGAGCATCGGCTTCAGGAAGGGGAGCCGCATGCAGTGCGGTGACCCCACCTCGGCGGTGGCTTTGAGGAAGATTGGCTGGGGCTGGATGATTTAGCGATGCTGAAATCATTTAAGCTTGTTATTGTGGTTTCTATGGCTCTCTGGCTGGATGTAACAAATTGTCTGCATCATTTTCCAGATGGATCATTCTTAAATCATCCAGGACAGGCTTCAGGGCTCAGCGCTGAAGCAGTAGAAGGCACTTCAGTTCAATAAATGCTGGAAATGTGCTATATTGAGTGCCATTTCTTATTAAAAGTTTAAGTACATCATCCGAGCTGATGGGTCTCACAGCCAAGAGCTCCGCACTTCACACCCTTTCCAAGTGCCATTATTCCCCGTGGGGCTGAGGGACAGGGACGGGGCCGTGTGTGGGTGCCCGTGGCCAGAGGCAGGGCGGCTCCAGGGTGCTGGGCAGGACCACCCTGCCCCACAGCAGTGACGACTGTGGAGGAGCCGCCAGCAGCTCAGCTCTACCCCAAGCATCCCCCTCCCTGGACGGGTACAAGACCCCGGTGTGCAGCCGGCTCCCAGCAGGTGCCACGGCTCAAACGTGTCTGGGCTTTGGGCTGAACAAAACCTTTTATTCAAGTTGGAATTATTTGATGCATTAGAAAGTGCCATTGCAAAATGGAGGGTTTATTGCTGCTGTCAGCTGCTGAAGCGGACTGTGGGTCACCCACCCCGGCTTCGCGCCGAGCCCCCGGCCGCAGCCCTGCGGCAGGGCGTGCTGCCGAGGCGGCGGGGCTTGCATCTCGACATTTGGCCACGGACGTGCATGCCCAATAAACGACGAGCGCTGAGAGAGCGTTTTATTACTGCCAGGCAATTTGTGCTAATAAGCAGTCTGAAGCCGCAAAGCCTCTCAGCAGAGAGATGAATTATGGCAGGAGGGCGTTGGAAAGCAACAGCCCCGAGGATGCCGCAGCGGAGAAGGCCTGCACGGAAAGCGCCGGTGCAGCCCACAGCGGGGTCAGTCCATGGTGGGGTCAGTCCGTGGTGGGGTCGGTCCGTGGTGGGGTCGGTCCGTGGTGGGGTCACCCCACAGGTCTCCCCCGCCTGCCCACCTGGAATGGGGAGCGTGGTGGCTGCCCACGGCTTGCGCTGGGGACTGGCTCCCCAGTGGGACTCACGTCTTCTCCTGGAGCCTCGGGAAGCACGTATGGGTGCAGTTGGCAGGATTCGAATGCCAAGCTGGTGTTAGATCTAATCTCGGGTTTTATTGACGCTGATGTGACCTGAGCCCCGAGACTGCGAGACCTGTTCAGCTCTGCCAGGAGTGACATGTCTATATGTTTTTAATAAACTTACCAGGATGAAATCCTCGCTGTTCCTGTTCATCCTCCGAGCATGATATTAACTGAAAACTCACATTTATCTTCGTTCCTTGTCAGGCCAAAACGGGGACAGAGTTTCTTCAGGGTTGTTATTATCTTTCCCTTGCAGATTTTCAAGCGTGAAGAAGTGATGTGACTGGAGCAGAGGCTGGGAGGCGGGAGCTGGTGATGGGCACCCCGGGAGCCCACTCCTCGCCCCAGCTGCCACCGAGGACCAGCACGGGAGGCGCGATAGCAAAAGCCCCGGTGGGACCTCAGGGCTGTGGCAAAGCCCTGGCCTCGTGCAAAGCCCAGTGCAAAGCCCCGTGCGCTGCCGAGGGCAGCACCGTGCCAGAGCACGCAGCATGCGGCCCCTTCCCGGTGCCCAGCGCCCGCCCGAGCACGGCGTCCCCCAAGCCGCGATGCTGGGGGAGGCACATCCACCCCCACGGGCGAGCCGTATCTGCTCAGGTGCGGGATTTATTGACCTGTCAAAGGGCTTAGGCATGGCTGACTGCGTTTCCCCCTGCAGCGATTGATTTCAGTCAGCTTAGATCAGGGAACAGCTGATTTCTTTGCCTGATACTTGCTCTGGCCTTCGATAGCGTGGTTAGAAATACATCACCTGGTTTCACTGCCTGGTGTTTCCAGTGGGCAGCACTAACACGTATGGCCCAAATACGGCTTTGGGGCTTTGGTTTCCTGGAAAAATCCACAGTTAACAATCCCAATTCAGCCTCTGGTTGCCGCTGAGTATTTCCGAGTTCTCTGCTAACCCAGAGGACATAACAGCTATAGGGCGGCCAGACCTCATCCCATTTTTGCCTGAAAAGGGGGATCCACTCCATGACGTCTCAGTGCTTACCCCCAGGTCTCCTCTGTCCGCCCGCGCTGGCTCCGTGCCCGTGCCCGGGCTGTGCTGCGGGGACACGGCCCCTTTGGCCTCAGGGGAGAGGAGCCTGTCGCGGGGGGCTGGAGCCCAGCACCCCGGGCCAGCGCCGGCCGGCCAGCTGGCCCCATTGCCTGGGGGTGCAGGAGCCAGGCTGTCCTCCTCCCCTGGGCACACATTTCCAATTACCAGCACATCTCTACTTCTCTGTGTTTAAAAGGCTGGCCAGCACTTTGCCCTCGGTCTATAAAAAGCACAGCTTGACATTTGTTTTTCCCTATCTATTTCTCATTCGTGTTTTCCTTCTCCTTGCTTCAGACTCCGTGCTGACATCCAGACCAACAGCTATACACAGAGCAGTGGATTGCAGCCAGCGCCATTTATAAAATGGTTTTGTAAAGCCATGAGAAGAGCAATATCCATGTAACAGTCCATAAACCTGTACATCGAAGCAATTAGCCATGATCACAGTCCCTGGTAAAGAAAAGCCCCACATTCACCAATTTGCTTTCAATCAGCCCAGAGAGC